CTGTTTGAACTTGGACAGATTGTTGAAAACACCAAATCTAAATCAGACAGACTGAGTGTTACAGAGAACTGTTCTCTGGTTATAAAGAAGGTCACAGTCGAGGATGTTGGTCGTTATTACTGTCAACAGTTCATATCAGGACAACATCAAGCTCCAGACTCTCTGTTTTATCTCTCTGTTATTATCAGTGAGTATTTCCATCATAATGTTTTCAGCTCAAACTGTCTTGTTAGAACAATATACTGAAAATTACAATAATTATGATCACAGTGATGAAGTTAACTTTACTCTTGTTGTCTTTCTCTCACAATATCTCCATCTTCACCAGTGACTGAATGTAAGGACGCTGATGAGGTGACGTTAACCTGCTCTGTGTTGACACATGAACAGTTCTGTGAACACACAGTGAAGTGGCTGTATGAGGGTAAAGATGTGGACAAAGATAACAAAGACATGAAGACATCACAGTCTGTCTGCTCCGCCACTGTGTCTTTCCTGGATTCTCATTTTAGTAACAAATCAAAGTCTAACTTGAAGTGTGAAGTGACAGATGGTTACTCTGGAAAAGTGCAGCTGTTCACCTTCAGCCCTCAGTCCTCAGGTGAGAAAACAGGTGAGAATATGCTGAGCTGGTGTGCGTTTCCCGAACAACCACGTAAGGTAACGTTGAACTATGTTGGTACGATGCATCGTTACACAAACAAACATCTGAAATACGACCGTTTCCCTAAACTGTCATACTTTGAACTAATTAGTTTGAGCCAACGTAGGTCGAACTAACATGTTTCCAGGTGTGTTCGTCTGACTTTCACAGCACGAAACTCACAAAACGTCATATTCTGCCTAAATATGTCAGTTGTGACCGATATTAAGTGACATTATTTTGCTAACTTATTATTTAGGCTTTTTATATTATTGTCATACCGGCAACAACAAGAAAATCAACAATAGTGTTAATGAAATCAACAATATAAATAATATATAACCTAATCATTTTATTTAGCCTAAATATCTGCTAGAACTTAGAAGAAAAAATTAAGAACTATTAGCGATTCCAAGACATTTAGTAAATAGGTTTAGTATCTTTGTGTCAACACTGTAACACTATTATGAATCCCTTGGCATCTGACATCTAGGTTTTGAGAACAGCTCAGTGCGCTAAGTGTCTGAGCTTACGCATGTTCTCTATTGAGACAGATACGACTCCCGTGAGTTCTCTATTTATCTTTGTTATAAAGGCAACGAAAACTCTCAGGGATTTATTCATTACAGTACTTTCATGGATTTTATGCTGTCCCTTTTTATGTTTGTAATGAAGACTAGAGAACACCCATCTTCCCCAGAGGCCCAGAAACGTATACATGTAGGTAATATTAAAAGTCTTGTCTTTACATTCTCCGTTTTGTCCTTTAACCTTTGTACTGGGTGACTAATATTAAATTAAGTTATTGTGAGCAGACGGGTAATCTGTGAGAAAAACACCTGCTGTTTGTAGATGGTCTACACTGAGATACTTAGTAGCCTACTGAATCAATGCAACCCTACCCATGACCCCACAAATACATTTAAAAGTACTTTTAC